CCCTTTCCAGAGAAGATGTTAATAGGTTCCCAGTATCTTGTACAGGTCACGGGGAGGATGTTCTTCTTAATTGCATCTGCAGGATTTACTGAGAAATAGCCACTGAATCTGGGCACTCGGTCACTGGCAGCAGACACGGCTATTTCTGTTTGCTTTTCTCCTGGTGATTGAGGGCTCCAGGGTGGGGGACCCCCACCTGCCTGGGAAGATGGGAAAGTGGCTCATTGTTCCCCCCAGGGGACTGGGGGAGCGAATGCTGGTCAAGTAATTTTGATTGTAATAAACAATGAAAATGAATAGATTTGATCATTTTATTTTAAAAATAATGAAATCAAATTACTATTAAGCTAATCATTCACCTGCCCAATTTCTTCTCTTTTTTTGGTTTTGGGGCCATGCCCAGTAGTGCTTAGGGATGATTCTTGACTCCATGCTTTGGGATCACTCCTGGTGGGCTCAGAGGGACCTTATGGGGTACTGGGGATTCGAATCTGGGACAGCCACATGCAAGGCAAGTGCCCTGTCTGCTCTACTATTCCGTCATCAACCCAACAGTTTTTTCTTACTGTCATCTTAAATATTTAAATATATATTTTATAAATATGTCACGGTCCGCCCGTTGTTCATCGATTTGCTTGAGCGGTCCCAGTAACGTCTCCATCATAAGACTTCTTGTTACTGTGTTTGGCATATCGAATATGTCACGGGTAGCTTGCCAGGCTCTGCCGTGCGGGCGAGATACTCTCGGTAGCTTGCCAGGCTCTCCGAGAGGGGCGGAGGAATCGAACTCGGGTCGGCCAACATGGCCACTTGTAAGGCAAACGTCCTACTGCTGTGCTATCGCTCCAGCTTCTCAGCCTTTTGGCTAAGATCAAGTGTAGTATAAAGGTAAAGGTAAAGGCCCTCCCGTTGATCATCGATTTGCTCGAGCGGGCCCAGTAACGTCTCCATTGGAGACTTTGTTGTTACTGTGTCTGGCATATCCAATACTCTCGGTAGCTTGCCGGGCTCTCCGAGAGGGGCGGAGGAATCGAACTCGGGTCAGCCATGTTGGTCGCTTGTAAGGCGAATGCCCTACCCGCTGTGCTATCGCTCCAGCCAAGTGTAGTATAAATATGTATTTACCTATTTAATTTATATACATTTATATGTATTTGTATGTAAATATGATGCATGTTTATTGAATCATCATGAGATACACAGTTACAAAGTTGTACCTGATTGGGTTTCAGCCGTACAATGTTCTATTACCTGTCCCTCTACCACTGTACGTTTCCCACCTGAATGTCCTGAATGTCCCAATTTCCCTCCTGCCCTCCTCCCGCCAGCCTCATTCTATGGAAAACACTTTTCCTCTCTCTCTCTCTCTCTCTCTCTCTCTCTCTCTCTCTCTCTCTCTCTCTTCCCTTACCCTTTGGGCATTATGGTTTGCAGTACAGACACTGACAGGTTCTAGGTTTCCCCAACCCTTTCTTTTCCTCCTGCTTTCTCTCCTGCTTCCTTCCACCCCACAGAGTTCTCTCCCTGTAATTCTTCGGGGTCCAACTGGCTCCCAACGCCTCTGTGTCCTCCCGTGGAAATGGATGACTGTTACGACAGTCCCGTGATACGACATAGGTGCCACAGGGCCCAGCAGCTGTCTCTCCATCCGTCCACCCTTCACCGTCCACCTACCCATCTGCCCGTCCTTTCTCATAGCCTTCGGTCTCTTTCTTCATTCCTCCCCGTTCTCATTCCTTTATTCTGTCTCTCTGTCTCCCATTCTTCCATCCTCTCCCGCTTCTGCTGGCCTCCCCCCTCCCTTCCTATTCACCTGTCCACCCTCCCTGTCCTTTCATTTCATCCTTTTCCCCACCCGCCCATCCCTTGGTTACCAGCGGGTCAACTGGACTCGCATTTTGTGCCAGGCCCTGCATCAGCAGTGTATTGTAAGATTGTGGAGATTGAGTGCTCGCGGGTACTATGCTGCTGTTTCCACGGGGGACGTGGAGGCCTTGGGAGGCAGTTGGACCCCAAAGCCTATGAGTTGAGCTCCTGAGTTCCTCTGCCTTGGGGTAGCCGTTTCTTTCTAGCCATTTGCCGCTCGCTTGTGTGGAAGTGGAGTGTCCATGGGCCACTGGCCAGAAGCCGGTGACCTTCCAGCTGCTGGTGTGTGTGGGGGGGGCGGGGGGGGGGGGAGCTGGGATGGTTTGCAAGGAAGCCTCACTGTGGCCACAAGAGGGCACCCAGCTCCCTGGCAGCCCAGCAGGGGTCGGGGGGTGGGGGGCACAGGTAGGGAAGAGAGTGGGGAGGTACCTTTTGGACAGTTTCAGGAAGTCTGTGAATAGGTGTGACCTGCGTCATCCAGCCTGCCAGGTGCCTTGGTGTGCCCTGCCTGGGAGACTGGCGGGTGCTTCAGAGAGAGAACAGTGGAAGCCCCAAGGTCCCCCCCCCCCACACACACACAAGGCAACAGCTCTGGTCAAAGGAGCAGGGGTAGGAATCCCGAGTCTGGAGTATGGCGGTCTCGCCTCCTGGTTGGTCAAGTGAAAACAGAGAGCCCCCCCCCCACCACCACCCGTGTTCCTGTTTGAAATCCCCATCCCGCCCCATCAAAGCAGTAGCCAGAGGCCTTCCTCTCGCCCTCTTATCCCTCTCCCAGTTGGAAAAATCCTGCTGGAAAATGAATGATTTCACCTTCCTCCCGACCCGTTTACCAGTAAGTTTTTTTTTTTTTTACTCTGATGAGCTGATTTATTTTCGATATGTGAAAGTTCTTTTATTTTATTTTTTAGGCTTAGAACTTTATTCCCTCACGTTTAATTTTCTCTTGCTATATATTTTTTAAAATTTTTATTAGTGAAACACCATGAGGTACAGTTGTAGACTAACACATTTTTGTGCTTGGGTTTCAGTTATACAATGATCGAATACCCATCCCTCCACCAGTGCCCATTTTCCACCACCACGGGTCCCAGTATCCCTCCCACCCCATATCCCCCCCATCCCACCCCGCCTCTGTGGCAGGGCATTCCCTTTTGTTCTCTCTCTCCTTTTGGGTGCTGTCGTTTAACCAGTAAGTTTTACCCCACCTGGGCTTCATCCCTCCCATCACTAACCTACAAATGAGCCTTGAAGCCCCTGGTGTTTCTTTTTTTCAGGGGGCTGAACTCGCTGCCTTGCGCTTGCCCCAGCGTAAGCCCCGGCTCATCTACTGCCCCTGTTTGGAGTCTTTGTTTCGGGGCTGTCCCGAACCCTCCCGGCAACGTGCACACACCTTCTGACACAGTTTTGCCACCGTGAGCAAACGCGCCCAGGAAGGAGCGAGGGGTGGGCTGGGTTCACTGCACCCTTCTTTCTGCTCTTGCGTGGGGTCAGAGCTGACCATGGAACCAGGCTGCCTACCAGGGTGTCTTGTCCTGGCCTCCAGGCCTCTCTCCTCTGCAGTCCCCCACCCCGACCATTTCCAGACGCTGTAAGGACTTGGCTGGAGGCACAGGGTGTCCTTGTTTGTTCTGGCACCGTGAAGAAGACAAACAGCTGTTTGCACTTCGGGTTCTTTGCTCTGAAGGCGCTCTCAGATGGGGTCCCCGAGACTAGTTCTGAGGTGCCCCCAAGGGATTGTCTGCGACCCCCTCCACAGTCCTCCAAGAGGCAGCACTGCCCTCTGGGGAGGGGCGCAGAGGTTCACGGAGTTGGAGTTGGCCGAGAATGGTCGTTCTGGTAGTCGGGCCCTGAGGGTCTAGACCCAGGATTGTGTCCCCACCTGGGAGCTGCTGGACCTGCCCCCAGCCGCTACCCCAGCAATGTGAGGGCAGGGGTGAAGGGTGGGAGCACCCAGACCCACTTCCTGGCATCCCCACGAGCCCCTTCCTTCTGTGCTCTCAGCCCCAGTGCCCAGGTCGGCCCTTGGTCGTCTAGAAAGTTCTTGTTCCTTCTCCAGAAATGAGCATCCTGGCCGGAGAGAGCGCACAGTGGTTGAGGCGCTTTCCTGGCATGTGGTGACCCAGATTTGAGCCTCAGGAGTTTACATGATCCCCCGAGCACTGCCCGGAGTGATCCCTAAGTGCAGGGCCAGGAGTGATCCCTGAGCACCGCCGGGTATGGCACCGGAACCAAAACCAAACAGCTACAAAGGGCTGGAGCGATAGCACAGCAGGTAGGGCGTTTGCCTTGCAAGTGGCCAACATGGCCGCCCCGAGTTCGATTCCTCCACCCCTCTCGGAGAGCCCGGCAAGCTACCGAGAGTATTCAATATGCCAAACACAGTAACAACAAAGTCTCCAATGGAGACGTTACTGGGCCCGCTCGAGCAAATCGATGATCAATGGGAGGGCCTTTACAAAGAAACGTGCATCTTGTTTTAGTGCGAGGATGAAGGGGAGAAAATCTGGGAGCAAGACGCCCCCAGAGTGGGTGCTGCCTGCGGGCGGGGGGCCCTGGGGTTCACTGCCTTTGTCCAGCGAAAGTTGGGGATCAGTACCCCGGGGACTCAGGGTGTGCCGGAGATTTGGAGCCTGGAGCTCACCCCAATCTCAGCTTTCTTGACCTCCTCTGTGGCGGGGAATAATCATGCATCGATTTGCTTGTGCCCACGTTATGATCTACATTTGATGGGGTGCAGGCGACCCCCTTTGCCAAGCCCCTCTCTCTCTACCTCCCTCTCAGAGCCAGGAGGCCGTGGGCTCTGGGTATCTCAGGGGCCTCCCCTTCCTGTAGGCAGGATCACTCCCTCCTGCCTGGGAGGAGGGATCGGCATATCCAGGAAGGCTTCCTGGAAGAGAGGTGGACTAGGGCCTGGTCAATAAAGACAGAGCTGAACTAATCAAAAGAGGGGTGTGGGGGGGGGGCAGGGTCGGGGCCGGCTGGAGCAGAGGTCAGGAGGTTAGGGGGCGGGCAAGAGCAGAGCTGGCAGGGGGGGAGCTCAGAGGGCGGGCCGGGGCCGGGGGCGGCGCTGGTCCGGGTCGGGTAGGAGCTGGAGTCCCGTCCGGACACGCGCCCTGACCCTCTGTCTCCCCCAGGGCCAAGAAGAAGAGCAAGCCCCTGAACCTGAACATCCACAGCAGCGTCGTCGGCAGCTGCGAGAACATCCCGGCACAGCGCTCCCCGCTGCTCTGCGAGCGCTCCCTGCGCTCCTTCTTCGTGGGCCACGCGCCCTTCCTGCCCGCCACGCCGCCCGTGCACGCGGACGCCAGCTTCTCGGGCAGTAAGTCCCGCCGTCTGGCACCTGCCAACTGCACCCCGCCCCCACCCGCGTACCAACACCCCCCTCCCCCCCCTTTCTTCTCGGGTTTGTATCCGTGCCGGGAAACAGTTGTGTGAGATAGTTACGAAGCTTCCCTGTGCGAGTTTCAGTCATACCTGATCCAACACCCACCCCTCCACCAGTGCACATTCTCCACCCCCAGGGTCCCCAATGTACCCCGCCATCCATCCCACCTCTCCCCTGTCTCCGTGGCAGGTAATGTTCCCCCATACGCTGTCTCTAATTTGGGGGCCTTTATGGTCTGCAAATCAGATACTGAGAGGCCATCACGTTGGGTCCTTTATCTGCTTTCAGCACACAGCTTCCATCCTGAACTGTCCCTCCAGCCCTCACTGACTCAGTGATCCCTTCTCTGTCCCAGCTGCCTTCTCCCCCAGCTCATGAGGCAGGCTGCCAACCATGGAGCGATCTTCCTGGCCCTTGTCTCTGCTGTCCTTGGGTATCAGTCTCCTATTATGTTATTCTATATTCCACAAATGAATACAGTCCTTCTGTGTCTGTCCCTCTCTTTCTGACTCATTTCACTTAGCATGATGCTCTCCATGTCGATCCACTTATAAGCAAATTTATGACTTCATCTTTCCTAACAGCTGCGTAGTATTCCATTGTGTAGACATACCAAAGTTTCTTTAACCAGCCACCTGTTCTCGGGCACTGGGGTTGTTTCCAGATTCTGGCTATTGTGAACAGTGTTGCAATGAACATACAGGAGCAGATGTCATTTCTACTGTGTATTTTTGCACCCACAGGATAATATTCCCAGAAGTGGTATTGCGGGATCAGATGGAAGCTCAATTTCTAGATTTTTGAGGAATGCCCGTTATTGTTTTCCATAAAGGCTGGACCAGTCGGCCTTCCCACCAGCAGTGAAAGAGGGTCCCTTTTCTACGGGGCCCTTCTGCCCCTGCTCCTCTGTCCAGTGGCCCAGTCTGGGCTCTGCTTCTCTCTCTGCCCCTCCGCCCCACTAGTGTCCATCCCTCCTGGCCACCAGGGAGACTAGGGAGCAGGCCTCGGGGGTTTTGTCTAAGCTCTGGTCGCTATGTCTTAGAGATGTATCAAGGTTCCAAATGGGCTGGCCTCAGGGGAGGCTGGTTTATCATCTGCTCTCGGCACGAAGTGGTTGTTATTCTGAGTGGAAACAGAATTTTCTAGTGGTCCAAGGTTGAGGTCTGAAGTCTTTCTATCTTCTCTGTCTTGGAGGCCTGTTTTGTTGACATGGCACAGATGTGGCCAGAGGTGGGGATAGGGAGGGTGCTGAGAAATGGCCCGATGAAGCCCAGCCCACACAGGAGCATGGTGGGCTGGCGGGGAGGGGTCACTGGCCCGGCCACAGCCGTGGGCTCTCCTGAGAAGCGTCTACCGAGAACGAATGCCCAGCTTCTCTGCCCACGCATGACTCCATGACGTCCTTGGCAACAGTCTATCATCTTTCAGCGTCATTGTCCCCATCATACAGATGAGCAAACTGAGGACCAGGGCCCTCAAGGAGCTTCCCAGACTGATACAGCTATTGGGGTCTCAGGCCAGAACTGGAATCCAGCAATTTCCCAGCTCCAGGTAGTCACACAGGACCATCTTGCTCAATTGGCTGAGCAGAGGTTCATCAAGAAGGTTTTCTTGGGGGTATGGTGCCACCAGCAGGTCAGTCTGTACCTGTGAGGCGAGTGCATCAGCAGCCTGATGACACCGTCAGACTTCCAGATACCCCCAAATTGCTGCTGTGCCTTTGGCCAGACCCAAAAAACTTGGGGCAAAATTTACCAAGAAAGTAAACAGCCAAAAGTTAGGTATGTGGGAGACACACTCACAAACCACCCCAGGCTCAGCTATATAATTGGAGGCATGGCCTCTCTGGTCCCTGATTGAACTGCTTAATGGCCATGATCCCAGAGACTCAGAAACGAATCTCCAAACCCAATGGCTTTTGGCAGAAATGCATCCAGTCCCTGCAGTAGGCTACCGGTCCTGGGCCACTCCAGGTGGGAATAGGTTTCATGCCTTGGCCTGTTCCCCTGGGTGGCTCAGTGACCGCCATCCTCCAGAGGCCACTGGACAGTCAGATTTGGGCCTGCAGTGATGAGACATGCAGGGCCTCACCAGATGGGGGTGGAACTGGCCCTTTCCTCCCCATCCCAATGAGACCCCAAGTCGCTGCCTACAAACGGCCTCTCTGGCTCCTGATCAAGTTGCTTAATGGCCATGATCCCAGAGACTCAGAAACAAATCTCGAAACCGAGCGGCTTTTGGCAGAAATGCATCTGGACCTCATACAAGGTGGCCGCTGCCTCAGAGCTTATTGGAAAGCCAGGTATCAGCTGGTGGTGATGGGGCAACTGCAGTCTCATGGGAAGGGGGACGGTACCGGCTCGTCCTTCATGCCCTACCGAGGTCACGGGTTGCCCCCCACAGGTGGCTCTCCAGCACAGTCATAACACCAGACGCACAGAAACCAATCTCGTAATTATCTGGCTCTTGGCGATAGCGGCCACGCGACATTATATGATTCTCATAACCAGCTATAGAAAACAAAGTATTTCACAATGCCTTTTCAGCAATTCTGATTGTTGGAGGGGGGGAATTCTAAACAATAATGGTACATCTTTTGTCAAAACAATGAATGTAATCAATGTAGAGAAGAGTTAAGTGGAAATCATCTGCCTCACAGGCATTGGGAGGGGTGGGAGGGGGCGTATACTGGGGTTCTTGGTGGTGAAAAAATGAGTACCAGTGAAGGGAAAGGTGTTTAATCATTGTATGACCGAGACTTAAACCTGAAAGCTTTGTAACTTTTCCCACAGTGATTGAATAAATAAATATAAGAAGAAAAAAATAAACAAAATTATGGAAAAAAAGTAAGGTGGAGTTCATGCCCAATTCAATCAGTTACTCAGTGGCTGAATAAATAGCAGTACTCGTACATGAAAAAAAAAAAGAAGGCTTTCCCTCTTGGTGGAATTCAGGAAGGTTTCCCTGGAGATGGGGCTTAGGAAGCTTTTCCTGGAGATGGGGTTCAGGAAGCCTTTCCCTGTAGATAGGGGTTCAGGAAGCCTGTCTCTGCAGGTGGGTGTCTGTTCTTTTCCTTGACCCGAGGGCGGCGGACCCCTGAGTGTTGGGAGTGACCTGTGCCTCTGGGGCTGGGCAGTGACCACAAAGCCCCGTGCCTCTAGGCTGCACAGCCTGGCCCGGGCCTGGCTTCTGGTGTGACTGGGCCAGAAGGGGCCCTGCACGGTCCCTGCCCGGGTGCCTGTGTTCACCGCAGGGCTCCATGGTAGGTTCGGAGTCGAAAGAGAACCAGGTGAGCCTCAGTGAGGAGATGACCCAGGTGCCCAGTGGGCTCTGGACCCAAATCAAGGCAGTCGGCAGAGCCCACGAGACAAGCACCAGCACCCAAAGGCAGATCCGTCAGTGAGTCTGGGATAATCTCTGTCCGAGAACAGAAGTGCCTGGTGCCCGTGGGGTGGCAGGAATGGGCTGACCTGGGCAGATGGGCAAGAGGCAGGAATCCCCGTCCCTGATGAGCATGTGCCTAGTGAAGAACCTCTCCAAGTCTCAGTTTCCCAATCCGTAAAGGGGGCATCGCCTTGCGGGTATGAAAATCAGAGGAAGTTCCTGTAGGTGGCATCTGCCCAGGGTCCCTGGCACACAGTCGATGGGTTGTGAAGAGTGGCTTTCAGCTGGTCACTCTTAGAGCCTTTTTTCTTAAAAATATTGTTTGACTTCTAGTAACATCTGTAGCTCTGGCTTCGTGGGCCAGTTGATACCTTTCTGTGTACGCCCCATCCCTCCCCCAGGTGCTAAGAGGGCTTCACACTGACCTGGGCACTGTGGTGGTCGGTCACCTACAGCTGCTATCTGTCCTGGGCAGTGCCATCCACGAACCCATGTCAGTGTGGCCATCCCGGAGTGGGGGGCGTCGTCCACTGCTCCGCTTGCTCCCATGCCGGGCAGCCTGGCCAGAGGAGACATGTTCCCAACTGGCTGGACAAGCCACACAGCTGCATGCTTAAGCCCCTGCGCCCCAGCCAGAGTTTGGAGAGATTTCATGGCAGGGTCCGGCTCTCCCACCCCCGGGTCTTGGTGTGAGAGCAAAGCTGACACTCGTGGCCAGTGGCCCAGAGCCCAGAGAGAGGGATTTCATCCCTTAATTAAATGGGGCTGCAGGCAGAGAAAAGCCCTCAAAGTCCAGTTAACCCTTTGGACCAGCCTGGTTGTTCCCTGTAGGGCAAGACACGGAACTTTGATCCTGCAGATGGGAAGTGGGTCACCTGGGAGTTCGAATGGGAGATCAAGTGTCCAATGTTTGCTGGCACCTGGGGGCCCCGGAAGTCGGTAGGCTGGGGACACTGTTGCATGAAGTGATATATTAGTCACTTGGAGGTGCAGAGACAAGACACGGGAGAGGAATTAGAGAGCACAGAGGGCCACACCTCCCTTAGGCTCGAGGCGAAGGGCTACCCTCAGCGGTTTCTTTTTATTCTACTTTTTATCAGTTACATCCTAACGACTTCATCACAGAGAAAGACTCACTAAAGAGAGTACGAACAGTTATAGGATGAGCATTCGTCAAAGGAACATCAGGGTATACGTGGTCTTGTCAAAGCTACGTCGCCATGATTAAAACGTCAGAGGAAGACACGGACTGGACACGTAGGCTCTCGAGATTATGTCCCCCGTGTTCTTGTGGTCAGTCACACATAGGGCAGCGGGAAGGCTCATACTGATACTTGAAGGTCGATCCAGATGACGGATGTAAGAGAGGGGGAGACTGCTGCCTTGTACTGCCCAGAGAGTGCGTGGCCAAGCGGGCGTTTGCGAGCGTGCTGTGCTCCTCCAGATCATCCACCTCCCAAGCTTAGTTGCCCACTTAGCGAGAAGTGGGGCCTCGGTTCTGCCTCCTGCTAGCAGGGCAGCGTCCAGAGGCCCGTCCTGATGTCCTGGCT